GATTAATATCAGCTGTGTGGCTGTTTTCATAGAAGTTTCCTTTATCAGAACCTGTTTGTTGCTTTATTTTTTAATCGCCAATACCTCTTTCTTGCTACCTGAAACTTCATTTTCATAGCATCCTGGTCTGTCTTCATGGATGCAGTAGCTATTAGGATTTTTGAGAAAACGAGTGAGAGATTTTTCAGTTTTCTTGTGCTTCTAGAATGACTTTGGTCTCTTCTGATTTGTGGTTACTCTAATTTGTTCTCGATAAGAGGTTTGGAGCTTCCCACCTCTCTTTTCTCATCCTGCTCTCCGTTCTTGGTGGAGTCTGGGAGCTCTGTGCAGAGAGGAGAGCTGTTGTGGATTTACTCTTAATTGGGGAAGAGGCAAGGTGGCTCTATCTCGAGTGACTCCCAAATGTCATTGTCACTCTCTGCACTCTGCCTGGGAACTAGAAGCCTAACTGCCAGGAATGTATAGTTGAAGAAACCTCCGGAGCTTGGCCCACAACCTGGGCACATACCCTCAGGTGCTGAAAGAGACCGACACCACTCCTGCCCACTGTTGTAATTATCAGTGCAGGATTTGAGAGTTCATCTGGCCTAGATGTCCCTGCTGTAATCTGAGCAGTAACCTTGTTGATTGTTCTAACATGCCCACCTCCTCCAGCTGTTGCTGACTTAGGACACAGAACACTGCCACCTCTCAGAGCCATGCTCAACAAGTTACATTGTAACCTGGTTTCCATCTCTAAGTTTTCTGTCTTATGGCAAAAGCCCAGATTTGAGTAATTACTGAGGCTTTGCCTCCTTTTTTTTGATTTTCAGAAACATCTTTTCGATCCTTTTCCAATTTTGCGATTGTCTCATAAGTTCCATTAGTTTCTTGTTTCCTTTCCAGAGATCTGCCATCAGAGGGGAGCCAGCTGGACCCTGGACTCTCCTGATTCTGTTCGGGTTGCATCTTTATTAGCAACCTGAAGCCAAACATGTTTACATTTTTAGTAATTAGAATTCCTTGTAGAGTAATTGTTTCTGTCCACTTTCACGGCAAAATTGCTAATATATTTGGACTCTATAATTTTATCATTAGAGTATAATTTTATGACTATAAAGCTGTTTGTCATATTTGCTAAGAATACTTTTCAGTTAACCTCTTTGTTTCAAACTGATTTTCATGGTAATGAAATGTCACATATTGACATAATAGAATCTGTTACTAACTTCCTTTGCAGAAAGAATTTTGCAATTATCTCATAAGTTCCATTAGTTTCTTGTTTCCTTTATTTTTGTAATATAAACTTTACATACTTATTTTTCTTGAAATTACTTTGTATACTTCTTAGCAAGTATAAATGTTTTTCTGTCAGATTTCCAAATTTCAAATTCGTAATTTGGATAATTTAACTCACTTAGAAATTTTTCATCAAATTTCTATGATACACATTAAATTCATTTGAAAAGTTGCTATATTTTTATAGCTTCTTCTCTGTTCTGTTGATTTCTTTTTCTCTTTCATATCCATACTCATTATTTATTAAGCATTTATATTTTTAGTCATTGACTGATCTGATTATTTTCTTCTTTTTCAATTATTATTAATAATTTCCCTTTCTCACAGTATGCTTCTATCCTAAGTTAGTTTGTAAAAGTTAAAAGATGGATGAGACTCAAGTCATCAAGGTGTTCAGTCTTAGAGAATATGATCAGTTCATATTAGACATTCAAAAAGGGTGACTTGGTAAACTGAAGGTGGAAGGAAAGAATATATTTAAAAAGGAAAAGCTGGTTGGATCTGATTTATAGGAGAACTTCAAAATAATAAATTCATATATACAAAAGATGTGGGCATATACCCACCAGGGGTGACTGGAGTTTGGAAAGTGGACATGGAGAACAGCTGAGTGTGAGGCCAAAAAGCTGTGGTTTAGTACCAGTCTTTTTTTACAATTTGGGTTGAATGTCATAAAAATTCAATGAAATTTTAAAACCATCCTATTAAAAGCTTGATTAGGATAACATTAAACATACTGAATATAGTGTAAATTATTATTGAATTTAGTTTTTAAATAGTGTCATTTGTTGAAGGATGGAGTAAAGTGATAAAATATAATCTTAAACTGTTTCTATAACAATTTAATAACATGAAAACTGTTGTAAATGTCAGATATTTTTCCTTTACTAAATTAAAAAAATTCAAGGAAAAAAGACTACCCTTTTCGGGCCCTCCCTGTAAAGCCGCTTCCTCATGAGTTCGATTCCCGCCTGCCCCGGAGGTGACCACATGGCGTGGCAGACCTCTCCTGACCCGCCCACTGCTCCCCTCAGCAGTGTACTTCGTCGATCTGCCTGTTCTGCTCCCCACTCTGTCTCTGGTGAATCCTCTCACCCTCCGCATCTCTGGCCTGTACCCCAGTTCTGTATGAATAAATAAATCTTTAAAAAAAAAAAAAAGACTACCCTTTTCAAGAATAATCAGCTTTAAGACAGAGGCATGCAAAATCAATTTTACTGATTTTATTGGAGCTGTCTGTAATTCTTATTACTATATAGTCCACTACGAAAATAGACTAAGTTCCCTCAACTAGTAGTGTCCTGTGGAATAGGCGACTTTCTACCCAGCCATAAGGAAGGAATGGATGCAAGAAAGAACACTATAGAAATAAGCACATTTTCTGGAGTGTTGCTGATGAGTTGAGAACTGAAATGCAGCTCTGAGAACAGTATGAGCATAGGAAGAATGTTCTTTTATTAAGTTCTAACCATGTTTAGAAGACAGAAGACTATCTCCAATGGACATGAAGATGGTGAATGTTTTAAAGAGAGGAGATTCACTCAGAATGTGAGTTCTTTGCAAAGTGTGAAAAACCTTATTGAAAAGAAAAAAAAAAAAAAGGAAGCACTTCTCAGTGCTTAATTGAACAAGGATAAATTTTAAGGCATAATGAATAAGGGTGTCCAGGGATAGGTACAGAGCACTAGACAGTTTATTCTGATGGCTTTGAGCTCTAAAAAAGTATATCCTATGGCCAACTGCACCAGAATCACTTGGGAGTATTGAGTAAAATCTCAGCTCCCTGAATCACTCTCGTCAGAACCCAGGAAGCTGTGATACCAGGTTTTTCTAACTAAAGTTTGAGAACCATGTTTGAAATGAAGTGCAAGTCCCAGTAGTCTACACGTATTGAGAAAGTGTTCATGTTCTCGGAAGAGAGCAGAAGTTGTGGATGGGCAGTGGAGAGAATTAAAGAATTGCTAAGCAGAATCTGGTTTGAAGATGAGAAACAGGCATGTTTGGAGAGGCTCATTTAGCTCCCTTTAAATGTTCTTCAGTGGCTTCTTTAGAATAAAATGATTTCTACCATAAACCCTGTTACCATGTCTCAATTTGTCAGGTCCAGGGAAAATTGCTAGGGCAGACTGCTCAATCAAGGACATGAAGAAAATAAGATTGCTCTTCTTCTAGGCTTGAGAAATACACCTTTTTTGGCAGGCAGAATAGTAACACTGATAGTTAAATAGAATCCTGTGGATTTGTGTATTCAGAATTTTAGTTTCACATATTGTTGATGAGCCCTGCCAGTGAGTCAGGCCAGACATCCCTCTGCTTGAAGTGGCTCAATTCCATTCTTAGATGCTGCTGCTTTATCTAACAAAACCCGAGAGAGACATTTCTTGCATGAAAAAAAAAAAAAAAAAGTTGCCAGGCTCTAGTCTGGCCATTGTCTTTTCTTTTTTCCCTTGAGCTCTATCAGTAGCTTCTTAATTGGTCTCCAAGTTACCATCTTCCTTCCCCAGATCACATTCTATACTACCTGTTACCTTTTGGCACAGGCTGATGGCTAAATACGATTACTTACAATTCATTTAGTAAAAGCTTTTTATACTAACTGATGTGAAGACTCCCCGTGACCATAAAAACAAGTCCAAATTAAAGAGTCTGAAGTTTTTCTCCACATGCTTCATCTCCAACCACTGCTTCCACCACTCTTCCTCACTTTCTGAGAACACTGTGTCCTCATCCTGGTTTAGTAGACCTTACACCCTTGTCTGTGACCAAAGTGTTCCTTCTGGCTTGCCTGTTCGTCTTCCCATTGTTTCCCTGAGGAACTATATTTAAATATTATCCTCTCTCAGTAACTTTTTTAAGCCCTGATTTTTCTCCCAAGGCTCAATTATTTTATTATCTGTACTGTAAGAAGTACTACAGTGCTTCTTACACATAACTGCTGCTGAATTTATAGCATCATATTGTCCTGTTTATACCTGTGGGCCCTCAAATGGACTTCAGTTACTCGAGACCAATTTTGAACAAACTTTGGGTCATTAAATTTTTAATCCCCCAGTGCCTGATACATAAGCTGTATTCCATCATTATTATTTGAGTATATTTGAACCAGAGAGCCTCTCTTTATGTGATACAAACTGAAAGAAGGAAAGATAGCAGAATTATTTGGAGCAGGCCATGTAGGCATCTCAACATCATAATATAATAGTAACAAATCTGTAGTTGTAACACAACACTGACTAATCTGAACACATAAATTCATGGAATTTCATTGAGAAGAAATATCATAAAAACGCTTCTTTTGATTTGCAGAAGAGGAACCCAGTCCTTTACCCATGTCAGAACTTATAAATAGCTTTATCAAGATCCTGGCAACAGTCTCTCTGAATTCATGAGTGTTAAAAACTATTTTTGCATTCTAGGCAAGTAGATTCTGGAAGAGAAAAACAATACACCGTGTACTTTAGTTCAGAGGGGATCCCATTAAGGGATCTTCACCTGCATTTAAGATGGGTTGGGAGAAAGCCAGGCTACATGGATGAGAGATAATTACTAAATTCAAGAAGGATTTTGAATTCAAGTGACATATGTTCATGTTTTTTGGTTTTTTTTTTTTGTTTTTTTGGCTGAGATGTTGTACGTTATTAGTACCAGTAGAAGAACAATAGAGTGGATGTTGATGAATTTCTCTTCTCTAGCTTCAGTGAGCCTCTTTTTGTCTTTCATAGGTTCCAGAACCTGCTGTGGTCCAGAAAGACATTTGTGGACAACATGAAAATCTATAACCACAGTTACATCTATATGCCTGCCTTTTCTATGAAGACAGGAACAGAGCCTTCCCTTCGGGTTTATTATACACTGTCAGATGTTGGTGCCAATCAAACAGTGCTCTTTGCCAACCCCAACTTTCTGCGCAGCATTGGCAAGTTCTGGAAAAACAGGGGAATCCATGCTAAGCGCCTCTCCACAGGACTCTTCCTGGTGAGCGCAGCCCTGGGTCTCTGTGAAGAAGTGTCCATCTATGGCTTCTGGCCCTTCTCTGTGAATATGCATGAGCAACCCATCAGCCACCATTACTACGACAATGTCCTGCCTTTCTCTGGCTTCCATGCCATGCCAGAGGAATTTCTCCAACTCTGGTATCTTCATAAAGTCGGCGCACTGAGAATGCAGTTAGACCCATGTGAGAACAGCTCACTTCAGTCCACTTCCTAGGGACAATGGAAAAAGAAAGAACTGAGCCAGGGTATTTTTGTTAGGTTTTCTACGTCACTTCAGAAGGAAATGGTCAAGTTGTTTCATGAATTTGCATGGACCACTTGGAAAAACAAAACAATCAAACCCCAAGGGAAATGCTACCTTTAATATTGACTTGGAGAATAAATGAGAAATGAAACATCCTAGGGAATATTTTACAACATGCTGTGAATTTGCAACTAATAACATTGCTGCTGAAGCATGGTTCAAATAAAAATGGGTGCATCACAGCCAAGCCTGAATTCTAACTATTGAAGCTGAGGAATGAATCAAAGTTGAATAAAGGAAATGCCAGGGCAAAAAGTGTTACTTATTATCAACACAAACTGGATTACTTAAAAAAACAAACAAACAACCTGTCATATTAAGACTGATATTAGAACCATAGGTTTTTTAAAAATTATTTATTTTTCCCCTATTTAGGGGCAGTGAGTGGGCAATGGGGTAGATTTTTAAAAATCCCTTACTGAGTAATAAGGATACAAAACATTGCAGTTGATTATTGTGATTTGTTGAACCAGGTCTTTGTTACCTATAGTTCCCTCATTTTTTAAATGTTAAATAAGTACTGCTTCCTCCCCCTGTTGTCAAGTCTACTTAGACAATGTGAAGCGTTGTTGAATTTAGACTGTGTTGAATCATTCATTGTCTGGATAACATGAGCCATTTCCCTTCCTCCTTAGAATTTAGGGCATACACTCAATTTTAGGTCTATATTGTGTAAGCCTGTTTGTATTACTGTTATTAGTTTTATGTACAAGAACTACAAGTGTGAGTGCATTATTTATTTGCAAATTGGCTTAATTGTTTTCATAATTTAATGTTCCGAGATGAATGAAGCACAATGAGGTGTAGTTTAGTTTCTAGAAAACAGACTGGAAGGTACATCCCCTTTCTGTCTACCATGGCGTATTCACTCCAAGAGAAAACATTTGCATGCATACATGCAAACACATGCATACAAGCTCACTCCTGCAGCCAGGGAAGCTGAACCCACATTACCTGGTATGGCAAAAACCTGTAAGCACTGTTGGAGAGCTACCAGTGTATTATATACTGCGCACTACGCCTTGATGGAAGTCCGGGCAGCTTATGCATTCCTGCTCCCAATGCGCACACCAGCATGAAATGCAAGCCTTGCCCCCAGTTGCTTACCCAGAATGAGCAGAATTGTTTTCCCCCTTCTAACTCCCACCAGCTCCCACCTGAGTGGACCCTGCATGAGCATGGTCACACCAGGCATGGTTCATACAAGTAAAAGGGTATGAATTAGTAACTATTTATAACAGGTAGGAATACTTAGAAAAACTGTTGTATTCTGCTTGTACACACTGTAAGGAATTAGAAGCTAATTCCTCACTTCAGCCCACTTCCTAGGAACAATGGAAAAAGAAAGAACTGAGCCAGGGTACTTTGTTAGTTTTTTCTATGTGACTCCAAAAGGAAATGGTCAAGTTGGAATTACTATTAGAAACTAATTCCTTACAGTGCTCCCTGTATGGCAAAGGAAAAACCCCTCCTTGTCTTTTTGCTTTGGGAGGCTTTTATCTAAAGGGAGACTCTAGAAATGTATTTCTTGTTTTAGGTGTCACTAAAATTTATGTAAGTTCTAACTGATTTCTAATGGTACAAACTCAGTATACCATGTAGATTAAAACAGGTGGCAGTTTTTGGTGGATTAACTTAAAAGATATCAAGATATACACTGTTAAAATACACAATTTCTAAATAGGATTAAACATTGAGGTTAATAGAAACAGTAGAAGTTAACATATGACTCACTGATAATAACACCGATTAAATTTTAGAATTTGAGTTTTAATTGTGTGCATAACTGATTTGCTGTCTGGATCCTATATGGTGACAAAATTGTAATAAGGCTGTACATGAGTTGACCATGTTAAATATTCACTCTGTAACCTAAATGTTTCCTTTTTGGGTTCTCTTTATTATTTAATAATTTAAAAGGAATATATTTAAACCTGTATCTCTGTAGAAGGGCTGAGGCAGAACACATAGAAATGTTGATGAAAGTTACCTTTAAAATTGTTAAAAGGTAATCAATGAGCTGAAAATGGTACATTTTGTTCAGTTTCCTGGGATAGATTTATACATTGAACTTGTTCAAAATTTAGCCTATAAATTGATGACTTCTAAAAAAAATACAGAAATGGGCCAAACTGTTTAGGTCAGTACTTCTCAACTGGGGTGATTTCCCTTCCTCATTCGGTGATATTTGCCAATGTCTGGAGACAGTCTTGACTGGTATTTTGATTTGGAAGGTGCTGTTGGCATCTGGTGGATAGAGACCAGAGATCCTGCTAAATACCCTACAGTGCCTAGGGTAGCCTATGATAACAGCTTAAATTGGTACTGAAAATTTTTAGAATTTGAGTTTTAATTCTCTGTGCCACACAGTCTCAAATGTTAGTGATGCTAAGGTTTAGAAACCCTGGACTAGACCAAAGTGATATTTTGGTTGTTCGCATTTGTCCTCAAGGAAGGATATACATACTTGTCCATGCCATTCACTGTCATGATCATGTTTTCTTAAAGAAAATTACAATTTGATATTTCCTTATAGTGATAACTCATAGGTATGCCATACGTATTTCCTTTTCTGTGTGATTGAAAGACAGGTGTATTCAAACCCCGTGTGTATGTGTGTGTGTAATGTAAGGTTACACATCTCCATCCTTATTTAAATATACGTGTTTCTAAGAGAGGGTCTCCCCAAGATTACCTTGATGAGGACTCGAATACTCAATAGAGAATTTGAATGCTTAACTCCCATTATTTTATTTTCTTGATCTGAAATTTAGAAATTCACAACTGAGGCTCAAAACTTTGTCAAATTTCATCAATTACATTTTAATATTTAAGGTTCAGCTCAGATGATATTGAGGTGACAGGAGACACTTTCAATAAAATATTTGATCACCCTCAGTGCAACTACCAGAGAGGAGAGCACCCTCTAACATGAGTTTTAATTTTTAAATTGCTTTTTATAAACAAAGATTAGTTTGTTGCATCTGGACAAGAGAGAAGGTGAAGAGAACGAAAATAAGTCTTGGCTGAACTTTAAATTTCTTTAGCCTCAATCTGAGAATTGTTTTGATGTTAAGGATCATGACTAAAGATGACCTTTGTTGAATTTTAATTATACCTCAGTAAAATTTATATGGGTAAGATGATTGTGGCATTCCATAAGAAAGTAAAGTAATTTTTCATATGGGAGCTCTTTATGTGAAAGTGGACAATGTGTATATTTTATTTACATGGAGTATTTGACCACAAGCTTATACAACATTGTGTTGAAGTGTTCTGTGGATTTTGTTTATCTAAAGCGTATGTGTAGCTGTTTTAACAAAGGAAAGCAATTCAAAACAATCCAAAAGACCCAAAATAGCAGGTACTTAGGCAATCTACTGTGACTTTGTAGTGGCTTCTACAGACCCTACAATTCGGCTTTAAACATCTACATGGACAATTACTGGAGAAACCCTGAGATTCTGAATTTGCCAAAAATATTTATCACTTAGTCAAAAACTTTACAGAAGTGTCATAGACAATTCCAGATAGAAAACATATCAATAACATCTCTTGTCAGAAACTGGGGTGGTTTTATTATAAGCAGCTTTCTGGTTTGTTTGTTTGTTTGGAAAATCAGCATCTATGGCTGTAATTTCTATGTTTAGAGCTATTGCTTTTGTGAAGTTTTTCACTGACAAATCCTTGTCAGAGGGACCCAAGAAGGAAAAAAGACAACAGTTAACTGAAAATTTTGGGAAATTCCTGTTGAGTTATAAAAACCACCACAGCAAGGTCATATCTGCTATTTGTGGAATTCCACAGATGAAGAGCTTTATAAGTTTGGTGGGAAATTAAAGACAAACATGGAGGAATAAGAAAGAAGATCAAGTCTATGCTTTTTATTTCTTCATCTTTCCAGAGCAGAGGTCCATTTAGGTTATATCTCTTGTCAGCATTCATCATGCAACAGGACAGATGTGGGTAAACAGCTCTGAGGTAACTGCTGCTTTGGGTAAAGCCTCTGCCAAGGTCAGCAGTGACTGTCATTAATGTAATTAGCAATTATGCCATGGTGTGTTGGGGAGGATGAGGCAAAAAGGGAAGGAGAGAACAGTCCATCTCCCATGAGCTCAACATATAAGGAGAGAGGCATCTCTCCCCTTGACCTTGTCTTTCCACTTATGCCTATTTCTGTCCACCACCAGAGAAAATGTCCTGGCTTTGGAATTGACCTGGTAGCCATGTAACTAGAGAACTGATACATTAATTTGCTGAGAAGATTAAATTTTTACACTGCCTCAGTTTTTTATACCCTTGTTTTGGGCATAAACCAGAGTGCGCTCTAAATTTAGGTGTCCAGGACAGAGTTCTTGTCTCTCTGACCTAATTATGTCCTGGACAGTGACTGTTAAAACTAGAGCTGGGCCCTCCCTGGTGGCACAGTGGGTTGGGATCCAGCACTGCAAGCTGGCTGCAGCCACTTCAGTGCAAGCTCAAATCCCGCCCGGATGTGATCCAACATGGCACAGCAGACCTCTCCTGACCTCCCCGCTGCACCCCTCGGCAGTGTACCTCGACAATCTGCCTGTTCTAAGCCTCACTCTGTCTCTGGTGAAGCCTCTCACCACACCCTACACCTCTGGCTTGTACCCTAGTTCTGAGATGAATGAATAAATCTTAAAAAAAAAAATATAGGGCTCCTCCCACCCCTATAAATTTCAGTGAGCTTGTCTCAGTTCCTGAGGCTAGGGAGATACCACATATTCTCTGCCCGCTTTGAAAGCTCTGGAGAGTAACTCGAGGGAAGTTTAAAGCCTAGAGTCTGTAAAGTCCTAAATATGAGGCCACATTAATTGGCTCTTAAGCACTATCACAGTTATCCTATTTTATACTTGTAAGTAGGCATCTGTAAATCTATTATTTTTTTTAGCCCCATTCCTTCCTAACCTAAGAAAATGGATACTGTTGCCTTTACTCTGATTCTAGGCTAGCATGTCTTTTGAATTTTTCATACACATCCCAGAGGGGAGAGATTGAAACCAGTGCCTGACTGAAAAGCTCATTCTGACAGTACAATCTCTGCTTGTGCAATAAGGTGAGGAGCTGTGCTTCTGTTTCCTGCTGATTTTCTTTCTCATGGCGGCATTTCTTATTTCTCTCTCTCTAACAAATAAAGAATATATAACTTACTGTAAGTTTACTTATAACTACCTGCGAGCATCGTGTATAGCCAGTTTCACAACTCTTAACTTCCTTAAAGCACAAGGGAGGAATTATTTTTCATTTACTTACCTCCTATGTGTTCTGTTGATCTCGCTCCATTGTGCTCAAATTCTTTCTGATTTTGCCTTCCTGTTGAAGCTGTAGGAGATAATCAATGATGCAAAGCTGGCTGGAAGTTTAATAGAATAGTATCCAAATATATTGATCAGGCCTCTTTCTGCTGCTGGGTAATTGGATTTTCTCCAGATGTTTGTCATTTTAAAAAGTATATGCTTCATATATCTACCAATAAATATCTAAAAGATGTTTTTATTCAGAAAGGAAAAATCAGGTGTGATTCCCCCCCCCCCGCAACATAAGAGAAATGGGAGAACTGTAATTTTTTTTGTTTTAACCAAAATATATATAAAAAAAGATAAAATCAGTATTTTTTAAGATTTATTTTTATTTTTTAATTATTAATCAGATTTATTTTTATTTTTTAATTATTAATCAGAGTAAAGGCAACAGTATCCAGTATGCATATCAGAGCTGGAGTATAGGCCAGTGGTAGAAGGGATGAAAGGACTCACCAGAGACACAGTGGTGAGCAGAACAGGCAGAGCTACTGAAACAACGTTGCTGAGGGAAGCAGTGGGCATGACAGGAGAAATCTGCTGTGCCATGTGGGTCAGCTCCCTGGCTGGGGATTGAACTCATGCATGCTACAATGGCTGTTCCTAGCTTGCTAGCACTAACTTCAGCCCCTGAGAGGCCCAAAATCAGGATTCTAATTGTGAAGGAACATAGAGTAAGATCACAGAAGGTCACTAAACAGAGAGCACCAAGGCTGTGCCTTTGAGTGTAGTCCCAAGAACAGATCCTTTCCAAAACACTTGAAATAGATTGTCATGCGGTCATGGCTCATGCCGGAGACCAGGAGGAAGTGGAACTCAGGTTCCTGAGCTGCTCTGACAAGGTGGGAGTGTGACACCCTGGCTCTGCCTGGACTGGATTGGGGTGGTGCAACAGTCCCCCCATCCTGCCCTCTCCGCAGTGTCTCCTCTTTCCGCTCCACCTTGACCCATGCTTCCAAAATAAGATGGTTAGTTCCACCTCCTGTCATGATGTGGTATCCCCTTGAACCTGACTCTCTGAAACAGGATCACCATATGGTCTGCATCATGAGATTTAAAAAGCTTTTGTCCTTTGCCCCCATGACTTCAGTCAGAGGCATTTTTATTCATTATCACTTATGCAGATGCATTCCGCCCTTACATTCTAGCATGTTCTTGAATGTGCACACGCACAAAGACACACACCCTGCATTATTTATGCCTGCTGTAAAGAAAGGTGGCTTACTTGATAGGGGATGACAGAGGGTGCCTTAACTTTCCCCCGGCTCAGTTCCGACTTCCTTAGGTATTTCCTTCACATGTCCCTGTCAATTTAGAGTTATGACCAAGTCTGTTCCAAGTTGTCCTTTATCATCAGGAAGAATCCTCATAAATATAGTGAATGTGACTAATTTATGTAAATGCACAATAGTATATAGGCCTTGGAGACATCTGATAACAGTTTGTAAATATCCCTTGTTGAAAAAGTAGAATTTTCTCCCAAGGAGCTCCATAAGGATAGCAACTGGAGAATGCCTGGATGAAGAGTGTGGTTTTTCTCCAGTGAATTCTAACATTCATGGAGCCAAAGGATACATTTCTGTTGCTCATTAACTCTTAAGCACAAGTCTCTTGGGATTTCTTGTTGGTATTCACAAGCTGGGGTGGTTGATGGCTGGTGTATATTAGCATCGAAGGCACTGGAGGGTGGTGAGAGATAGCAGGGTGAGCTATCTGCATTGAAAAACTTGCCTAGAACTCTGGTCATCAGCCAGTTTATTTTAGCTTTAGGTCTGAAAGCTTTGAAAAAAAAGTTTTTTGATCTCTTTGGCGAGCACGTCATATATTATCCCACTTGTGTGCAGGCTATTTCTCAAGAGCAAATTTGCAAAGGCTGGAGCTAAGAGGAAAATAGAAAAATTCAAATATTCTTTTTCCTACAGTACAGTCTTGACTACCAAACCATAGGTGCAGTCATTCTGGAAAAGATTTTGGATTAGATATAAAATTGAAATCACCTTTGAAGTATGTCTGAGGTGACTACTCTAAAAAAGTCAAATTCTGCTGGCAGGAAATGTGGGCAAGATTTCCTTTTAAAGTTTCCTATCAATGGAGCAGGTAAGAAAATAATTTTGATTGGTATTTTTGGTCGTGTGACTTGAAAAAACAGTATCTGTCTATTGGTTCTCCCGAGGTGTTTCTTTCCATAGAATCTAAACGCAATGTCATGGAGGTTTGCTGTAAAAATGTCTTTTCCTTTGGTATGTTCATTGTAATTATGGCTGGAGAAGATTGATTATTTTTCAATTTCTCTACCTCCCTTAATTGGAAAAAAATTGGAAATGTACCCTGTGAATAAAATGATTTTTTAATAGCTTGTGGAGTCTTTATTTCCCAGAACCTGTAGGTAATTCTGTTACTTGTTCTATTCCTCCTGTATTTTGTATCCATATCAGCTACACTGGTTTTTTTTTTTTTTTTTAACCTCTTGGAAATGAAAACTCATGCTGCCTAGTGAGATAATTATTTTAGAAATACAGGCTTGTAAAGTATACTAATTGAATATAAGAATGCTATTTGTACCTCTTATACTGTGAAAGGCTCTATCTACTGGGCAAAATAAGATAGGAAGAAAACTGAGCACCTATTTAATATGATTAATGTACATGAGTCTACTTTTTGCAGCAACAAACATTTTCATTTTGTAATGAGTCAGTATCAGTATGTGTGTCCTAGAGCTTAATAAATTCTTAATAAGATTCAAATCATTGAGATTCCCTGTATGTGCATATGGGTGATTTTAAAAAGCCAGAGTGTGCCCTCTTGTTTGAATTATTTAGATAATTGCTTCAAACTCCCACTTCCCATGGGCTTTGTGTTTCACTTCGGCCAGAGAGGGGGACATCAGGAAGAATGACCTTGGTTTTCTTTTTTTTAAAGATTGATTTATGCACACAGAACTGGGATACAGGCTAGATGTGCAGGGACAGTAAGAAGATTTACCAGAGACAGAGGGGAGAGCAGAACAGGCAACATAACACTGCTGAGGGGAGCAGCAGATGAGACGGAGAGGTCTGCCACACCATGTGGGTCACTTCCGGGCTGGGGATGGAACTCACAGTGAAGACGCTGCTGCTAGCTTGCAGTGCTGTGTTCTTACCCATTGAGCCACCAGGGAGGGCCGGACATTCTTTTCCATACTTTTTTTTTTCCCAGAAACTGATCAAGGTGCTTTGTGCAGACCTTTGGATTCATTCTCTGACTTCATTACTTAACGACCTTTTGGGATATAGCTGTTTTAAGAAGGAACATTCTGTTTACCTGAATCATTTTGAGGGCAAAAAAAGTCAGTGCTCTAATATAAAATAGGGTTACCCTGACCTACTCAGACCATTTGAGGAAAACATATTTAACTTCCACCAACTATCATTAAGTCAAAAAGTGTAGACCTGCAGTTCTTTACTTCAATTTAAACATCAAAAACAGATATCAAAAACCCAAAAGTAATAATTATTCAAGTATTCCTCCTAGACTAAAAGGAGGATTAATTACAAACTCACACACTAAATTTTGCTTTAAAATTTATTTGAGAGGTACATTCCAATTCTAGATGCAAGAATAAGGACAGAGGATGACTGAAATGACTCAAAGTTCACTGAAAGTGATCAGGAGACCACGGTTCATATCATGGCCATCATATTTCATTATGGTGAACATTTATAACTCTTAAGACATTAAGAGTTCTTGGATTTTGAAAATATGGGAAAATGGGAATAAAAGTTGCTTTTTCTTTCACGATAGAATAAAAGTTCCTGGGGCCCTCCCTGGTGGCTCAAGGGGTTAGGACACAGCACTGCAAGCGAGCCATAGCCTTCAGTGGGAGTTCAATCCCACGCCCAGAGGTGATTCACATGGCGCGGCAGACCTCTCCTGTCCCCAAAGTACACTGCTACTCCCCTCAGCAGTGTATTTGTCAATCTGCCTGCTCTGCTCCCTACTCTGTCTCTGGTGAATCTCACCGCCCCTGCACAACTGACCTGTACTTCAATTCTATATATATGTATATATATAAATAAAATAATCTTAAAAAAAAAGAATAGTCCCTCCCTGGTGGCCCAGCGGGTTAAAGTACAGCACTAAGAAGCTAAAGCCACTTCTGCATGAGTTTGATCCCTGCCTGCCCAGGAGGTGACCACATGGCGTGGCAGACCTCTCCTGACCCTCCCGCTGCTCCCCTCAGCAGACCTCTCCTGACCCTCCCGCTGCTC